GGGGTAATCGGGATGGGTGTGTCAGAGGCGGTGCGGTTGGCGCAGGATAGAGCAGGGTTTAGAGCTGTTGTGCATAGGGTCGCTATGAGTCGGAAACCACTCGATGGCACATAACAACAACAACAACAGTCTTGGAGAGGGTAGATGCATCATTATAAGTTACATATGTGTTTTTATAAATCTGGTGTGTTTTTCAAAGGTATGGTGTAGAGCCTCCTGGTTTGATAAAATTGGAAAAAGAGATTGAACAAGAAGAAACACTTTCTGCTCCTTCTCCTTCCCCTTCTCCATCATCAAAATCTTCTGGAAAAAAGAGTACAGGAAATGTACTGGATGACGCAGTAAGTAAAACTGATCAGATTGCTTTCATTTAGTAGTTTATTAACCCCCAAACCTACTCTGTAGATTCTTGTATCAGTCTAACATTGATCTATTTCAGCTTCATTATTTTTCTTTAAATCTCATGAAAATGCTTGTGTTGTTAGATTTAAATCTGACATTTAAAATAAAGTGTCATTTAATTCTTCTAAGTAATAGGCAAATTTTTAAAGATAGTAAGTCAACTTCCTTAAAATTATATTTGGAAATGTTTTGTTATTATTGGTTCCTGCTCCCTCATTTCATAGACAGGGAGCCTAAGACCTGTGTTTTCCTTTAAAGGTGGTGGGGGAAACATACCAGAGAGAATATAAATGCCCTTTTTTTTTTCTCTATGCCTTCAGAGCCAGGACTGTAATTGTTTTTCAAATGCCCTGTTATCCCTTGGGCAAGTTTTTATGGAGGAAACAGAAATGTTAAAAGTTTACCCACCTGCTAAAGGGAAGAGCTTAAGTTTCCAGCCAAGTTTCATCAGACTCACCAAGATCTTAATATCTCCGTTGATCAGAGCCCTTGAGTCACTCTTTTTGACAGGCAAGGAGATACTTGATAACTTTACCGTCACAATTTTGGTTTCAATAGTTCTAAAAGTCCCAGTAAGCAATGTGAATTGTCTTTCTCAGGCTCTCTTTGCTGTTTGGTAGTTCTTGGTTATAACAAGTAGTTTTCTTGGCTTTGTATATGTATACACACAAACACACACACTCCACAATCTTTGGGTACAAGACAAATGATAAAATAACGATAGAGAAATCAGAAGTGACTTGGATGTTGTTTATGTCAAGTCTTCATTAGTGGAGTTGTAGATGTATGTGAATAGTATACAATGTTTTAGAAAATGTTAACACCAGGGACATTAAACTGGGGTTTCAAAACTATTCCCAAGACCTCTTTAGAATATTTTTTAAAAAATCAAGGTTTTCACGTTGAGGGCTAAGATAGACCTGATTCAAGTCATGTTATTTTCAATTGCCTCACATATATGCAAGGCTAGATGACAAAGAAGGAAGACCTGAAAAATATTTAGCATACCATCACCTACCAACAATCTGCGATATGCAGATGATACGACCCTGCTTGCTGAAACTGAGGAGGACCTGAAGTGCTTGCTGCAGAGGGTCAAGGACTGAAGCCTCCAATATAGATTGAGGCTCAATGTCAAGAAGACAAAGATTCTCACCACCTGAGCCAATTGGCAGCATCAGGATGGATAGTGAAGAGATTGAGATTGTTCACAGCTTCAGTTTGCTTGGCTCCACAGTCAACACTCTCGGCACCAGCAGCCAGGAAATTAGAAGACATATTACTATGGGAAAGTCAGCTGTTAGGGACCTCTCCAAATTACTGAAGAGCAATGGTGTCTCTTTGGAGACTAAGGTATATCTGACACAGGCCATGGTCTTTGCTATCGCCTGTTATGCATCAGAGAGTTAACAATGACTAAGGAGGATATAAGGAGAATTGATGCCTTTGAGCTGTGGTGCTGGAGAAGAGTATTGAGGGTACCATGGACTGCTAGGAAAACAAACAGATGCATCCTGGAAAGGTTAAACCGGGCGGTTCCTTTGAGGCAAGGAT